GGGGGGGGAGAAGCGAATAAAAAGAAGAAAGAAAAAATGTGGTTTCACCAAAAGAATTCGGACTGGAGGGAGGCAGCCTGGTGAGTGCAATAGGGAAAGGTGGAAAATGAGAAGCGAAGGAGAGGGAGAGAGCGAAATGTTTTTTGACAGAGGTCGGTTCAGAGAGGGTTCATGGTGACATCATGGCTGATTGTGAGGAAAGTATAGACAGGAGGGCCATTCACCTTTCATTGGACGCATATGTTGGAGGGTAGGCCGCGCGCTCATTTGCATGCGCTTATTGGCACTCTGTTAAGGTTTTTCCGACAACTCTGTTTGGACCGCTGAAGCGCGCGCGCTCGCTCGCTCCTTTGACTCGCGCACACAAACATACAAAAATAAGTACAAGCATGCGCACATATGCAACCACAGATTAAATATGACATGTGGCTTATACATTTACATAAATTTTAATGCAAAATATACACCACAGCCTGTCCCATTTTTTCCCATATAGCTTTTTCCAAAAGCTCTCTGTGTTGTTTTTCCCCGTGTATGTTATTTCTTCACGTCAGTTGGAGTCTAAATGTGTACATTTTGCCAGGTGGAATGAATGAGGCCCTTTATTGCCCGAGCCGTGCGTTTGACTTTGAAACTGAAAACGGATGCCTTTCGTGTGCGTGTGTTCGTGTATTTACGTGTGCGTGCTTTGAGTAAATCTACGTTGTGCTTGTTTGCGCGCGCGCGCTCTCTCCGCATGTCTCATTGCAGCACAAAACTTCACATGACATCAATCTGCATGCAAGGAAATAGTGATCTCATTACAGGCATCTTGTTCCTGATTAAAACCTGCCGTGGCCACCAGCCTCTCTCTTTCTGTGTGTGTGTGTGTGTGTGTGTGTGTGTGTGTGTCTCTCTCTCCTCCGCCCTCCCTTTTTCGTTTTCTTCCCCTTCTCTTTTCCATCCAGGCCCACTAGTCCTTCCCTGGCTCAAATAAATACACGTCTTAGTGGAAATGTTATTCGTTTATTTATTTGCACTCCTAAAAATTAACAGGGGGGAAAAGAAGGTCACGGATGAAAAAGAATGAAGGAGGAAGGATAAAATGATGATGATGTCAGAGGCCTTTAAGATGAGTTATGATGTCATAGCAAAGAGTGACAAATGCAACCCTTGTGAAGAAGAAACCATTAGGGGCAAAAAAAAAGGGGGGGGGAGAAGTAGAGCAAATGACAGAGAACCTGTGTTCAAATGCACTGTGAAAATTAATTATTTTTATTGAAGTTGAAAATAAACAGTATTGGAAGTGGAAGTGGAAATTTACTAGCAATTTCTGAGTAAAAATTGCTTCTACGCCTTTTTTTTTTTACAGTGTAATAAATTTACTAATCGATTGTTGATTAATATAACCGGCATTAACCGCGGCATGTGTACTGCATCATCACTGTGTCTGTCACGCGTCTCCGTTGCCCTTTCGGGCTTGAACTGATGGTAAAACTAACGACTGTCTGATTACTGATTAACTGTCTTGATATTTACTTTGAAAGCTGAAGCTCGCGATTATGGTAAGGGCCGTTACATTTCCGACGCGTGCTTGTGGTGTTCGGCCAATCACAATGCACTGGGTCAGCTGGCCAATCAGAGCAGACTGTGCTTGTCAAAGGAGGGGGCTTTGTTGAAAACGACGCGTTTGAGAGAGGCGGGGCATAGAGGACCTACAATAATGTAATTTATTTGAAAAATAATGTGTTTTTTTAACATTAAAGCATGCCAACATATTCTGTTACACCAAATACACAAAATAATGATCTTTAAAATAGCATCATATGACCCCTTTAACTACTTCTAAAGAGCCACACGTATTTTTTTGTTTGTTTTTTGTTTACTTTGAATTTGATGGCCACTCAATACCGTGACTTCATGGGACAGCAAACTCAGCAGACATAGTATGTAATCCGATATGTGACCCTGGAGCACAAAACCAGTCAGAAGTAGCAAGGGTATATTTGTAGCAGTGGCCAAAAATTCACTGCATGGGTCAAAATTATCAATTTTTCTTTTATGCCAAAAATCATTAGGATATTAAGTAAAAATCATGTTCCATGAAGATATTTTGTAAATTTCCTACCATAAATATATCAAAACTTAATTTTTTATTAGTACTATGCATTGCTAAGGACTTAATTTGGACAACTTTAAATGCGATTTTCTCAATATTTAGATTTTTTGCACCCTCAGATTCCAGATTTTTAAATAGTTGTATCTCAGACAAATATTGTCCTATCCTAACAAACTATACATCAATGGAAAGCTTATTTGTTCAGATGTATAAATCTCAATTTCAAAAAATTGACTGGTTATGACTGGTTTTGTAGTTATAGTTCCCTTAATATGTTATGACAACTATTACTCATTAGTTGAACTGCTTATTCATGCATATTTGAAGAAAGAGTAATTTAGTTAGTAGTATCTGAATACCAATTCCATATTCAGATACTAATAACTAAATGACAAATAAAAAAGTTTGCAGACATTTCCTTTAATCCTAACACACAACACAATACAACAAATAAGTTAAAATATTAATATTTTACATCTGTAAAAAAATCTATACAGAAACTTTGTTCATATTAACAGTAAATTGAGCACTATTTTTAGTTTACTACACATTTGACATATTCTTTAAAAAAAAGGTTCCAAAATTGCAGTGATGCCATTAAAATAACTATTTTGGTTTCCACAAAGAACCTTTCAGTGAGCAATCCTTAAAAGAACCATTTTTTTGGAATGGTTCTAAAGATCCCTTTTCCACTATAAAGAAACTTTTGTGAAGAGGAAAGTTTCCATGGATGTTAAAGGTTCTTCATGGAGCCATCAGTGCCAATAAAGACTACTAAGTGGGCATGTTCAGATGCAAGAATTCTGTATAAAAGCAGAATAACAGGAAATAGGGAGAGTGAAGCAGGTGAAAGTGAAATGTAGTGTGGAAGACTGAAAGACAAAGTCAGAAAGTGACAGACAGGGAGGTAAACAGGTAGTGTGGGAGAACGAGAGGAGCGAGAGAGGAAGAGAGAGAGATAGCAGTCTGATCTATCTTCATTATCCTCCACTCTGCAGTCTCGCAACACAGAGATCATAAATCTCAACCTCCAGCACACTTCACTGACAATGAAACACAAACACTGCTAACCTCCGACCTCTCTCCTGCTACTGACACATACTCGCTCAGACACACATATAGAATGACAGCACATACTGTAATATTGTTTGAAACTTGGTAAACTAGATGCTCCAACAAAAATGTAAGATACTAAGTATTTTGAAATGATTTGATAGGAAGACTCATAAAGCATTAAATCTCAAAATTTAAAAAAAATTGATTGAAATATCCTCATATTCTTAGTGATCACATTCTAAATGAGTAGTTACCTTCTTTTGACAGACAGTTAATATGCTTACAGAATGATAGATAAAGCTGTGTAGGGTAGGTTTGTGTGGCAAAGCAAACCACTTCCTGTTGACTTGTGTATTGAGACCCAATGCCAGCCCTGCTAAAGTGTCCTATACTGCTACACTTTAGCTGAGCTCAGTTTGTAAACGGTTTTATCTTAGCAAAGAAAAATCTGAATGCTGAAAATGTTTTTAAACGTTTTTTTGACAGGAAGTTCATCTTTAGTGCAGTACAAACTAAACAGAGCCTTAGTGCACACCGAAGTTGTTTCATGCCCAACTAGCCTTTCAAAACATCAGAATATGATCATTTATAAATACATTGCATATTTTTTGTGTAACTAATAATTGACTTTAAAATAAAAACAAGTGTTCCATTTGATTTATTTGCATTTAATTACTGTCAGACCCAAGGCTGAACCTGACATGTCACCTCTTTGAGCTTGAGATGGCACCGTCAGAAAGGAGCCAGTTAAGGTGTGTCTTCACAGTGAGGTTTCTGGGGGTTTCTTTTAACCAAAGCCAGTAGAATGGCAGCTTTAGGAAGAACCCAGGCAAACGCCCAGAACCACAAACAAGCCAGTGCAGAACTGTTCCATACAAACACAAACTGCACACTGTACTGATATAAAACACATAAAGAGCGGCATATAGCCGGACACACCCTCGGCACCATGAAGTTTGGAACTTCCCATATTTACAGTCTCCCATCATCAAAAAGATGTCATTTTCTTGTGGACTTTTGTAGCAAATAAATCATTACAATTATGACAACCCTGAAATGATTCATCGGTGGATGTTATTGGTTTGTTTTGTGCTTTTCCACTTGTTAATCCAGCATCATTTAACATGTTTTCCGGTTTCATATTTACTACTGTTCATGCAAGTTTGTAATTCACATCGCATGAATAGCATGATTTAGGGTTTTCACACTTCAATGCTGTGTGAAGCATGCTATTGCATTTTTTTCCAACATTTTTTTCCCAACTGGAATAACATGCAGCAATGACTCGTTCACAGTAAGACCAGGATATCAGTTAAGTAAGTCTTGAAAACAAACTGTATCCAGCATTTTAACTATGAGCTCCTCGTTGGCATTCCGTCATCATGTGCTACTCAGTGCATGTCATTTGTGAATACACAGAGTTCAAGGAGTGAGAAAAAAAGAAGGAGAAAGAAAGAAAGAGAGGCAGAGAATTAAAAACAGAAATTTAAGCTTGCCTCTGTTTCTTCCCTCTAGGCATTTTGCGGCTTGTGAAAAATGTGCTGTATATTTGAAGGGTGGAGTCACGTGACCCAGACAGGGTTCATGAATCAGAGCGCATAATTATTTCTAAGAGAGACGAAAAGAAGAGAAAGAGGGAGGGAAAGAGAGTGAGAGAGGCAGAGAAAAGGAAGAAGAGAGAAAAAACGACCGTGTAGTGTGAAAGGACTGATGAACGGTGACACGCGCTTCTCTTGTCTTCATCTCGTGGATTTCAGTCACAGTGGGTGAGTTTAACTTTCACAGAACCGATTAAACGATGTTTTTATTAGTTTAGGTACTCTCTTATGTCTGCCACTTACGATACATATAACAAGGGAGAAGCCGCGGTTATTTAAAACGAAACTTGAGTAGATAGCCTACAACAGAGGCGCGAGAGAGCGATAAAAGAATCGCAACTTTTTGTTCGTTCGTTTCGCTCGCGCGACCCGGTTCTCTAGAATTCGTCTAATTGTAGCGCGTGCGCTGTGTGCGTGTGTTTTCATTTATTTTTGTGAGGTGTTGATGCTTGGCGTGCGTGTGTTTTCTGGGTCCGCGATGTGTTTCAAGAAATGACCGGTTACGTTTACGCATACCTTTATCTGGTGAGTTGTCCCTTGACGTATGTAAAACACCTCTTTGACAGGAATTGTTTTCCTTTTAGCCTTAAGTGTTAATGTCACAGCCCCATGGCTTACAAGTTTTAAGTATGTGTGTGTAAATATGAGATTAGTTTGTGCGAAACAAAGTATTTTGTACAGCTTGTGGTTAAGGGAAAGGTGTTTTCAAAAGCATCTCATGCAGTGTTGTTCTATTAATAAAACTAAAATGTGGTAGCAGCTACATTACCGTTTTTTAAGTTAAATAAATGATGTAATGTAACAAACCTGGATACATTGAGATGTGTGAAGAAGGAATAGAGTAGAATGTTTAAAGAATGCGTTCTCCATACAATGACAATGAATGGTGTTAAACCTCAAAATGGATGAAAAATCCCTGTATAAGTATTATAGAAATAATCCATACAACTCATGCACTATATTCAAAGTCTTTTGGAGCCATATGTTAGTGGTAACGCAAGGGACCAATCAAAATGTACATTTTTATCCACTCATAATTTTGACATCTGCCCTAGCTCTGCATAAAAGAAGTGGTCATGCGTCAACAAGTTAGATCTTTTTAATAAATTGGTTGATCCAATTCACAAAACTGAGCTGAATGATTTGTTCCGGTTCTTGGGTTGACTCAGTAGTACAGACACTGGAACGTTGTCAGTTAATTTGGATTTGTTTGACACATAAACCCATTTTATGGCTTCTGAAGACTTGGAATAGCATATGAGATGTGTGGACTGTACTATCACTTTAAGGTAACATCTACATACTGGCTTTGTACAGTGCAGTTTCTTTGAACAAGTATTGCATTTGTTCTATTGTAAGAAGTAACAAAATGCATGAAAATGCACATATCAATGGCTTTTTGTGTTACTTTTTCTCTTATATTACCTTATAGCTGAACTTCAGTACTGTGAAGCTCCATAGCATTGACTGTAGCACCTGTTCTTCGTGCTTTCTGACTCACTGCATTGGATCAGTCTGTGATCTGAAAGAAAAGGAATTGCTTTCCTTTGCTTTTCAACATGTTGTGTGTGAGATTTTCACGAGCTGAAAAGTTTTTTTGAAAGTTTATGCCAGCAGTGTTTAATAGTGTCAGAGCCAGTCGTGATTTATGATGTCTTCTTTTAACATGTGACCGAATGTTCACATCCAAACACACACATCTGGGGCAGAGGAGCCGTCTGAGCGCGTTACAACATTAAAAACAACAAACTTACTCAGCACATGCACAAAGAAATGAATGCACGGCTCTTTTTTTTTTAAATGAGAAAGGAATGGGCCAGCCCTTTTCTGTCTTCAGCTGTTTATGTCTCACAGATCAGCAACATGAGTTTACATGAACTCAGACAAAAGAAGCAGAGACAAGGAAAAACAAACTATTGTCAAACCAGCTATTCACGTTCCACCAAAACCAAAACTCCCACTCTGACTCCAGCGGGACTGTGGAGTCTGATCTCAGCGGTACAGTAACTGTAATGGAATACGGGAGTGTCTTAATGTGTTTGTGTGTTTGGGTAAACTGCTGTCATTATATTCTTGAGTGTATTTTCCCTTTTGAGTGACAGTGTCTTTTCTTCACTGTATATCAACTCTAACCACAGTATTAGATTTGCAGCGTCACTTCCTGAATCTTTTATAGTTTATTCTTAGTAATGTTTTTATGATACTGTAGATACACTGTACTGTTACAAGATCTACTTTCAAATTTCACTTTTATTTCAGTGTGTTACTTATGGAAGCCTGTTTCAGCCACATAATAAAAAATAACATTAAAAAAAAGGTAATTGTAGCTTTTTATCTTACTATTTGAAAAAGTTTCTCACAATTTAGGGAAGCTCAGAATTCAGAGTAACAAGTCATATTTTTGAGGTGTAAACTTAGAATTTAGATTTAAAAAACTCATAATTCTGACTTTCTCACAATTCCCAGTTTACATCTCGCAATTCTGTTTTTGTTTAAAAAACAAAAAAGTAAATTGTGACTTTTTATATCACAATTCTGACTTTTTTTTCTCTCAATTGTGAGTTTATATCTCAAAATCCAGATTTTTCTTGTTTATAGCTCGCAATTTTGACTTTTTGTTCTCAGATCACAAGTTTATATCTCTGAATTCTGAGTTTATATCTCACAATTCTGATAAATTGTCACAATTCGTAATTCATTTTTTGTTGTTGTTCTGTAGCTTAAATTAAGCATCCATTGTTACTTGCCATGTGAGATTTACTAGCAATTTCTGTTCCTACTTCATTTTTTTTCAGTGTAAAACTCCCCTTTGTTTTTGCATGCGTGTTAAGTAGTTTGACTCATTGCAACTATGTGTGTTACTGTTTCATGAGGACATGCATTCTTAGACCACCCCACTGTCTGTCTATCTGTCTAGATCCCAATTTTTACTTCAGTCTTCAGCTCATCTGGCTGCTTTTTGGCTTGTAATCATAAATCCAGGAGTTTATCCATGACTCTCTCAGGAATTTGGGGGGCAATAGAATGTAAGTGGCAGGGAGGGGCTGAACAGGTGGTTTATGGGGGATCAGAGAAGGTGGGGGGACTTTGTTCTGTACTCTGTAATTATGAAGGAAACCATCAGATCACTGCTTCCCCTGTATATTTTTGCAGGTGTGCAGGGATGTATCCCTTTGACTGCGTGTGTATATAAGACTTTATATGTCAGCCTGTGTGTCTGTGAAAGGGAGAGAGTGTCCGACATCTGCTTATAAAAGTTCTGTGTGTGTCAGGGCTTTTATTAATGTGTCTGTGTTAGTGTGTGTGTTTATACTCATGAGTGCGAATGCTCCCCGTGCCAGTGCTACTGTAATGAGCGCCATCTATTACCTTCTATTGCTCTGATTAAATAAACTGTGTTCATCTGAAATGGCTAGTTTAGCTCAGCGGCCATGTCATTTGTTTTTATAAATCTGATTTCTTGTCTGATTACGCTATGTAATAAACCTCAACTACAATCTAGCAACGATCATGTTAATGCTCTGATCCTTAACCAATTATTTAACCTCATTTCCCACAGAGAAATACTGCAAGCCACAGAGGAATACTGCAATAAATAAGCTCACTGGTCGTGCTCGTTTTCTCTCCGTTCAGACGTTTTATGGGTCTATAAACAATTTCTCTTTTTTTTGTTGTTTAACCGTTCTTGCAGTGTGTCTGTGCTCACATTGTCCATATCACATTGCAGAACAGAACTGTCAGAACTGTCTTTCGTCCACTCCATGTGTCGTAAACCTCGTTATATATATAATTAATTATTTTAAAAAAATTAACAATAATTATAATAATTAAAATGTATATATAAATTTAGTTGGAATTTCATCTATCTATCTGTATCTACAACTAAAAAAATATATGTATTAATATATGTAAACAATATATATATATGTGCATCTCAAAAAATTAGAATATCGTGAAAAAGTTTTTTTTTACTTGTTTAGAAATGGCTAGTTTAGCTCAGCGGCCATGTCATTTGTTTTTATAAATCTGATTTCTTGTCTGATTACGCTATGTAATAAACCTCAACTACAATCTAGCAACGATCATGTTAATGCTCTGATCCTTAACCAATTATTTAACCTCATTTCCCACAGAGAAATACTGCAAGCCACAGAGGAATACTGCAATAAATAAGCTCACTGGTCGTGCTCGTTTTCTCTCCGTTCAGACGTTTTATGGGTCTATAAACAATTTCTCTTTTTTTTGTTGTTTAACCGTTCTTGCAGTGTGTCTGTGCTCACATTGTCCATATCACATTGCAGAACAGAACTGTCAGAACTGTCTTTCGTCCACTCCGTTTATCCCATCACTCTTTCCATTGCTCCCTCTCGTTCTTCCATGAGTCATAAACCCATCCAAACCTAGGAAGTTTGGTTATTTGTTTATTTATAAAAAAGAGAATTTAGAATCCTAAATGAAGAATAAATCAAGAATCCAAGAACAAGTGTGACACCGGTGTAAATAATATAGTAAAAAGTAAGTGACTGTTAATGATTTTAAAAGCTTTTTGAAAACATTTAACATTTATCATAAAAAAAAAAATAAAATTGATGGTTAGAGCTTACAGCTCATGAAAGTCAAAAATCCAGTATCTCAAAATATTAGAATATTTACATTTGAGTTTCATTAAATGACCATCCCTACAGTATAAATTCCGGGTATCTCTTGTTCTTTGAAACCACAATAATGGGGAAGACTGCTGACTTGGCAATGGTCCAGAAGACGATCATTGACACCCTCCACAAAGAGGGTAAGTCACAGAAGGTCATTACTGAAAGGGCTGGCTGTTCACAGAGTGCTGTATCAAAGCATATTAAATGCAAAGCTGACTGGAAGGAAGGAATTGGGTAGGAAAAGGTGCATAAGCAACAGGGATGACCGCAAGCTTGATGCCTGACCTGAACCCCATATGGAATCTATGGGATATTTTCAAGAGAAAGATGAGAAACAGTCGATCCAACAATACAGATGAGCTGAAGGCCGCTATTAAAGAAACCTGTGCTTCAATAGTGCCTCAGCAGAGCCACAGGCTGATTGCTTCCATGCCACACATCACTGATGCTGGAGTTTGTGCTTAAGGAGCCCCGACCAAGTATTGAGGGCATAAATAAAAGTACAATATTTGTCTT